CTCCGCGGGCGCGGGCGGGCGGCCCCTGCGGCTCCAGCCACAGGGACAGGAGCATCTGGCCCATGTCCCTGCTGGGGCTGGGGGGACCAGCCCTGCTTTCCCCCAGCCTGGCCCCAGGGCAGCGTGGAAGTCACGTCCTGGAGATGAAAGATCCTTGGGGCAGCGGGTAAAAGCAGCCAACGATGATCAATTGTACAAAAAAAAAAAAAAAAAAAGGAAGGATGCACTTTAATGGACTTTAACAATAAAGGAACTTTTTTAAAAAAACACCCTGTATCTGTTTAAAATTACATTAGAAAAAAGGTATAATGAATGTTCCTATTTTCACAAAAGGAGATATTCTCTGACTGCAAACTCTTGGCAGACTGAACACTCTAGTCAACAGGATAACAACCATACATTTAAGCTATCACTTCCCAATTATACACGAATTAGTAATTCACTGCCACAGGGAAAAACGAGCCCAGTCATACATCATTCTTACAGCAGCTAATTGGGCATGGAGCGAGACAGCTCTGGTGGTAAATGGTAAATAATGCATATAGCATATCAAACTTTGCATGTAGACAGACAATTTAATTTGCTTCCCACTAAAGAAAAAGGACTTTTTAAGAAGTAAACCATTTATCTCAACACTAACATGCAAGATTGCCTTCACACATACAGCTACCTCCCATTACATATGTCCATCATACAGAAAATATTAACAAGCATCACATTTCAAGATATGTGTGTGTACATGTGTACATATATATATGCATACAAACACATAGAGAACCTTATAATTCAAATGAAATTCACTGAATACATGGATATTGAAGTCTCAAAGCTTCCAAGGATAACACGTATATGTAAAGTTTTCTAAGAGACTGATATGGGGTTGCCTCTGTATCAAAGGCTTCTCAGTCACATGGCATTTATTTGCAGATTTTAGGAAAATTAAATGCAATTCATTGGCAACATCCAACTGCTTTTTCCTGTAAAAATGAAGCCACTTGCTACTGGAAAGTTAGGGAGTGGAACCAGCTGCAGAGGGGTATTTTTTTTTGGTTGGTTGGGTTTCGGGTGGTGGTTTTTTTAAGCAAAACAAAACATTAAGCTGTTCTTAGGGGCCTCTGAGTTTAAAACATGAAAGAAATTACTCTCTGCTTTCCTCCTTCCCCACAGGCAAAAAATCCTATACACATCTAAGCAATTCTCAAGCAATTTGTGCTCACCAGTGCAGTGTGTTGCTCTCCCCATAGTACAACTGCTCCTGAGCTACAATCATTCACTCGCAGCTCCACAGAAGAGTTGGTATGAACAGAAGATATTTAGACTTCACAGCTTGAAAACTGGGCAAACTTACTCTCTGTAGAATAACACTTACCTTCTTTTCTGTTAAGGTAGTTAGAAAAATTATGAAAAATCACCTTGACAAAACACCAGTGATGTTGCATATTGATGTTGAGGTGTAATGACCTAAATGGCCTCTAATTTTTCTGCAGGGCTAATAATACACTTAGATATTTGACCCTTTTCTTACTCTCCCATACAAACAGAAGAAGGAAAGAAATCCCTTACGTGTTTTCCTGGCTGATGCCGAAGGAACTCGTCAAACCACAGCGGGATGCAGTGAGATCCAAAACTGGGCTCTTTGTAGTTGAAAAGCAAAGCCTTTAGCCAACTGGAAGGGACTTCTGATGGAAACTTTATGATGATTTTTCTTTTCCAACAGATTAAATGAAGGAAAAGTTTAACTTGATGTTTCATTCCGGTATCTATTGGCAACTGATATTCAATGATAACTGATATGCTCACAATTTAGGAGTAAAAGCTTTTCTCCTTCATGCAAATGGCATCACACATTTGGTATTGATAACGCAGAGGGATTTGGCCAGAAATCCAAATTATCTAAGGATCCAAACTCATGATACTGATTATTTTTCAAATCTCATGTTTTCTAAGACAAACGGGAGTTCACACATTTCCTCATGTTCCCTTGCATGTTTGAACCCTGAGAAAATAGCGGGTTTGTGTTTCAAAGGGTCTGATTTAATCACAAGGACTAAAATTTTCTTCTTTGCATTTTAATCATTCAAAATTCCCATGTAATCCACAGCCTCCAAATGCTGAGGAATTGTCACAGAGGCCACAATATCAAATTTGTGAGAACTCCCCAACCCACTGTATATCAGTGCAAGGTCAGCGAGGGTCGCACACACGGCAGCCACCTTGCCGTCTGCCAAGTGTAACAGGTCCTCATTGGCACCCAGGAACAAATTTCCAAACACACATAAGCAACTAGCAAACGGGCAAGCCCTGTGTTCCCAAAAGCATCGATTTCTCTGACACCAAACCATGAAATACGACAATCCAAAACCACAACCACGGAACCTGCATCCCCATCACTGAGTGAGTGCATCATGGTGCTGCTAACGTCAATGCATGATACCATGTCCTGACACGGAGCATCACTGCAGACAATGATCTGCAGATGAAACAGCTGAAAATTACCCAGGAATAATCCAGGAGTGTAACACCACGTGCGTGTGGGCTACGGAGGGGGAGTAACACCACAGCCCAGCAGATGCTGCCAGTCCCAGACCTGACAAGGAAGGGGAGCAGCAGGATGCCACTTCAGAGTGTAGAGTAAAGGCACACTGGAGCAATCCTTTGCATTTCCGCCTACGGTTTCTGTGTGTGGCTTCCAAATGAAGCCAGCACTGTTCACAGAAGTTCAGTGTTCTTAAAAAAAAAAAATCCCAGCAAAGGTACTCTTTGCATAACCCACACCTGCAAGTGACTTAAGGAGACAGGGTATTTTCAGCAGACCCCAAATTGTTAGAGGAAAGACCATGATTGAAAATAAAATGGTGACAGTATTTCTGTGTAGTTGTGCTCTGGCCCAGCCTGCTCGGTGAGACGGGCAGGCTGTGCCCGCCAGAAGAATCACACTCACCCCCACAGCAGGAACACACCCCACGCTTCAAGTATTTGGCCCCAGCGGAAATCCCAAACCCAAATCATCTGCCGTAGTCCTCTGTAGGGCAGGCAGGAGGCATCTCAGCTCCTGGGTGTGAGGATGGCTGGTGTCATCCTTCTCCCCCTCCCACACTCGAGCAGCCCTTGGTTAAGAGCTGGGACTCGCAGTCAAACCTCTCCTCTGTCAGCAGGGACATCTGGCTGGAGGATGAAACGGGAATTCGCACGCTGAGCCACGGCAGCTTTGGCAGCAGAGCATCCAAACACACAAAGAAACTAACACATGATTACAGCTCTGAGCAAAAGAAAATAATTTGTCAAAAGTTGAAGAAAGTTTTGCCTAATTTTGTCTTTAGTCAAAAAGACAGGTTACACATGGCAGGACATTTTTTCTTTTTTTTTTTTTTGACCAGCATATAGCTCATACATAACCCTCCACTTCCAAATGAACGTTGTCCACACACAGCAAAGTTAAAAAAAAAAACCCACTCATGGCAATAATTTACCTAAATATTTAAAAGAAAATAATTTAAACATATTAAAGGTAATTTCCATGAAGACTGATGTAATACTAAATGGAAATAAATTAACATTTTCATTCCACTAAATGAAATGAACACAGAACCCACACACATAAAACCACAGAGTTTGCATTGGAAAGACAGCTTAAAACTCCCAAGGTTTAACTCAAAACATTTTTTTTAATTGAAGTATGAATGCATTTATGCCGGAGAATAGTTTACATACATTGTAAAGCAAAAAGCATATTTTCAAGAGGTGTGGGCCCTCCTCAATATGTCTCCATGCTCAATCTTCATGCTTTAACACTGGACTCAAGACATATACTCTCACATACAAACATATAGCCCCACAAAACACAGACATAGAGCTATCTGCTTCAATTAGCTTTCTTTTAAGGCTTCTGTAAGGTGCCCTAGTGCCCCTAACATTACCATAATTACGAACAAAATTGTATAAAGGAGCAGCATTACTTCCAAACTATTGATCTGCTCTCAGCCTTAAAAAATATCAAGTGAAACGAGTTTTTTCCTTTTATTTGAGTTTTATTAAACATCTGCATTTAAGAAAGGCATGACTCTGGATATCTGTGAACAAGGAAAGATACGGGAATCTTAACATGAGCTTCTCAACCAGAACAGATGTTCAAACCTGACTCCTAAGGGGCCGTTTCCTTTGATCTTTACAGTAACACAGCCCTGGCTGTGCAACGAGGCGCTACCAGCTCCATCCCAGCAGCGCCACTCGACCAGCAACGCGGAGACTGGTGACACAGAGTTGAGGCTACCATGCTCATATTCCTTCAGACCTGAGGTTGATGAGAAGTCACAGTTCAAACACTGACAGACCCAAGTGTCCCTCAAGTCTTACCAGCGGGCCCCCCTCCTGCGGAGCACATTGGGGTGGAAAATGCAGATAGTGGTGCTGGCTTGCTGTACCCCCAGCCATCGCGGAGTGTTGTTTGCCCACCTCTTTTTGGTATCCTGCAGTTTATAGTCTGAAACTGCAACTACTGGTGCTGGGTGAAAGATGTGGCAGCAGGTATATTAAGAAAACAGGTACAATTAATAAAATAAAGGATAGCATATGATATAATGTGTACATACGAGCATCTTCTTTTGTTTTTTAATCTGTGAAATGTGAATTAACTGCAGAATGCCAGGCCATTAGTCTAAAAGGCTATGTATGGTTGTCTTAGCCTACGTACAGTCGAAGGATTTTCGTGATGCATCGTGGAGAAAGATTCTTCAGGAACCATTAGGGCTTTCCAGGTCTACTGGCTCTTGTGCATAAGCCTCCAGCTAGGAATGCCAGAGGAGCAAGGAATAAAATTGCCTGACCAGTCTTGTAAGACAAACAGGAATGAATCTACTTCATGGTATGCACCTGAACTACAGAGATGAGAAAGGGACAGTGATGGGTGGGTGAGAGAGATGGGGGAGGGAGGGGTTTTTTCCTCACTTTTACAACAGCAGCAGAATTCAATTTAACGTAATTATTTTAATGATGCATATCTGTAGGTACTGAATTGCTCTTTTGATTTAAAAAGCTGGTCAGACAAGTGTTTGGCAGTCCTTTCATTCCCCAATTTCAATCGTTGCTTATTCATCTATCAGCTCTCATTCCCTGCTGAACCATGAATGAGTTCAGTCAGCCATCGTCAGGTTCAAATTCATGAGACACTTCCTCTGATGAGCTGTTCCTGTGGATCCGGCCATCGCTTTTCATGCTGTGAAAAGTCTTCTTAAAGGCCTCCATCATGGCATGGGCCAGCTTCTTGGCCTCCAGCTTGCTCTCACACTCTACAGCATGGCAGTCCATCTGGTAGGACAAGTCATCGTTGATCTCCCGATAGACCCAAGCAAAGATGTTTGGGCTGACATTGTGGTCAGCAGTGCAGTAGGCTATACGTGCTACCTGAAAGGTATCCATGTGGACTGTTGCCTCGCCTTTGAGGTCCAGATGATGCAGCCAGACTTGGAAAGGGCGAATTTCCAGAAGGGCGTTAGCTGGGTAAATATCCTCCCTGGCGAGCGTGTGCTTCTTCCATAATTCGATGACTGGTTTCTCTGTGCAGCCTGACAAAAACTGCATCCCTGTTGTGGAAACCTTACCCAAATACGTAACCTGCAAAGAAGAGCAAAGATAGGTGAAGCACAGAGAGTAGACTCTGGCATTGCTTTCTGCCATCCCAGGGAACTCTCCTTTGCCTGGAAAATAAAAGCAAACTCCCCAATTTCCCCATCTTCTTCAGTAAAACAGTTTTCAAATTCTTTTCCAAATATTTGCTTTTTCAGATGCTGACTTCACCGTTCAAACCCAGATGTTAAAAATGTTCAGCCTCTGAGTTTCAAGGGATTTCACTCTCTTCAGCTCCCCTGGAAAGCCCGGCTTTAGAGCCCAGGACTGTACCTCTAAGCTCACATTAACAACCCAGCGGAGCAGGGCCCAGGTAGCTGTGATGCTAACCACTTTTTTTTTCTTTCTACTTTATTCAGAAAATTTATTTGTATCGTAGTTCAAACATTAATATTAGAGAGATGGAGACATTCCTAGTTTGATAATGCAAGGCTGCAGGGGGTCAGAAAAGCATGATCATGGCAGAGGATTTTAAACGGAATGTTTTTTTCCAAAATGATCTTGTTTTTCCACCACTTCTGCTGTTTCTACTTAAGCATTAAGCCAGGAATAGCTCAAAGCTGTTTAAAACTCTATCTTTGAGCAGGGCTGAGACATTTATCACATCAATTTAAGAAAATATGCTGTTGAAATATCTAGTAATAAATCTACCTTAGTTTAATCACATCATCTCTGTGCTTTTCTGTCTAGCTCTTCTGAGTAAATGTCCTGTTATCCAATTTGCACAGGAAAGCAAGGTGTCTTGAGTGCCCTTACTGTATTTTGTTCACCAAAAATCAAATTCACCGACAGGTCTGTATCAAAATTCTGTATTAAGCCTGTGCAGAAACATGCCCCTAAATCTGTGCAGCTGCTAAAGAGGCGTTCTTCCATTTATAGCTGAATTGAAGTTATTTTATCTAGGAAAAAGGATTTTCTCTAGAAAAGACAGACCAACACTACATAAATACAATTATGCAGATTATTCTATTTATTGCTATTGTCAGACTGGTGCATCTTAGAACAACTATATGAAAGCACAATTGCCTCTAATTTGTCTCTTGCAGCAGTTACTGCTTGAGACAGAATCTCGTGCCTCTTGCTTGATGTCTTATAACCTCATGTGCATTTTACTCAAGGCATTTGGAGAAAAAAGAAGTAATCACATGCACTTTCCAAACTAATTTCTTCAAAATCCTGTATTAAACACACAGTATCAGCTATTTTTATTTTGTATATGCTTTAAGAAATGCAAAGAAAAAATATGGAGTTTCCACATTTAAACACATTACAAAAAATCATACCCACGAGGAATACAGGATTTGTATTCCATGCAAACAAGATTTTCCACAAGAAAAATATTTTGCTGCAAGTTTCATAGGTTTTGTTAAACTCAGAGACCTAAATTAAGCCATAATTAAGAAAAAGCTTACAAAACATTATTGGAAGTCCATGTGGCTTAATCACGCCTGCCAAAAAAGCAATTTCGTAGCACTGACATTTCAAAATGGGAAGTCTTATTCTTTGCCTATAAATATTCATGCTTTGTACTGGGAATATGTTAGATCTTATAAAGCTTTATATTTTTTTGAACAGTGAGAAACACAACACCTAGAACAGTTAACATGGCAAGACCTACCAGTGTTTTGCTTTATTTTATTTTATTAATGACAAGAGATGAGTTCCCTGAAGTACTGTAGAATAACTTAAAAGAAAACCTCAGAGCTCATAGTGCCAACTAAACACATACAAACAGAACACACGAGACCAAAGAGGAATTTGTCTGCAACATACTGGGGGGTATTTCAACATATATCCACAGTCATATTGCTTTAAAAAGATCAAGATCAGTGTGCAAATTTGCACATTCAATATATTCTCCAAAGGTTCGCTCAGCACCATTTCATACTCACAAGCCAGCTAACAAAAGACTAACGCACTCTGTAAATTATCCGGGCATTTGGGGTTAGATTCAAAGCCCACTGCAGTAACAGAAGTACTTCACTGACTTCAAAGAGATTTGCACAAAGCCTTTAAACCCTGAGGAACAGAGAGTCAGCCTCTTGCTCATGCACTTTGTCGCTGCCCAAATACAGTTCTGAATCCCCGGTCACAGGAGAGATGCTGCCACCACTGCAACATTTTGTCCCCCCAGCTGCTGTTTGGAGAACACGGGTATCACTTGGAGCACGCAGAAGCAAGCACAACAGTAAATGCAGGGAATTGTTTCATGACAGGCTTGTCTGCAAGAGGAAGCTGTTGACAGCACATGAGCTGCCCTGCCACAATGGCGTGAGCAATAGGAGAGGAGAGGAAAGCAAAGACAACTGCATCCCACTCAGGCAGCGTTATTATGGGTCTTCCCAGGCAGCACTGCTGAGCTCAGTGCTGCAAACTCACCCCAGCACGCAGAGCATCAGCCCCTCAGCACCAATGACTCCCAAGTGATGCTCGGCACACCTCCGGCAGCTGAGGAGCAAGACCGGAGCAGGCTGTCACACGGGAGCATAAATTGAGTTTAACGTTCTCTGTTCCTTCCCTGCCGCTAACTGCAACCCCCTGTTGGCCATCAATCTATGCGTGGGCTGCCTAAGTGTGAAGTTACAAGAAAAATTATGTATTTCCTTACAAATAAAGTATTTGTACTTCACAAAGAAAAGCAGTGAAATACTCTGAAAGCAGCCAAGGCCAAAGTAACTAATAAGAAGGATGGGATGATGGCTTGTTTACCAAAATGGGATGTAACGCTCTAATTTACTGTCCTGGTTCTGTCACAGTACAACTGTGTAGGAACCTTTAGAAAGTTGCTTCCTTTAACACCACTTTGCATCTCCATTATATAAATTTCATTTTCCTTTGAGGACACATTCATAAATATTTATAAGGTGCTTAGACATTACAACAAGGAATTCACAGGAGAGAGAATAAACAAAAGCTCTGGTTTAGAGTCTCCCCTGTACTGTGTCTTACATAGCAACGTCAACAGCTACTACTGTTATTTTTTGTTTCTTTTTAAACAAGTGATCAATTTTTTCCTAGTTGAGATACAAGCATTTCACAAGAGTAGCATTAATGAAGCTCTTAGTGAAGACAGATCGCTTCATGGTCCCCTGCTAAATACAGAACAGGGATACACAGGCTGGCAAGACACCTTGAATGTTTGACACCAAAAAAAAAAAAAAAAAGCAGCATCCTGTTCAGAACAAAGTTTTCTTCATGATTAAATATCAAACATGTTATCCATTACGTATTAATCCATCTGGACCTGGCCAATTTAGTATCTCAGATATTAACATTTGCATGATTGCAGGGACAGTACAAGCGCGAACTAAAACCGGCAAAAGATGAATTTATAGGGCACTTCTCCCTGAGCTCTCAATTACAAGGTTATTCCACAAGTAATGCTCCCTGCATTTTGGCTCCTACCTCATCACGTCTCACAGCACACCCACCTTTATTTAAACGCCCAGAAACCAATGGCCACAGATATCATTAGAATAAAGCTATTACAGTACAACCATCTTCCTTTCCAAGTTTGCCAACCAAAGATCAAAGAACAGATTATTCCTTCCATTATCAGATGGAGAAGAAAATTATGTTGAGGCACAAATTCTGACTGGTGGTCTTTTCCATTAAAATTGATGGTGTCTCATCAGTGTGAAGCCAGGAGGAAGTATTAAAAAAAAAAAAGTCATCTTTATTACTCCTAAGAACCAGATGCGAAGGGCACAGAAACACATTACTATTATTATTGTTATTATCATTGCACATGGAAACACACACTCAAGAAGCACCTGAACAGAAGCAACCACGTAGCCTTTCCAACTAGAGAGGAATCATTGACAAGGACTGGCAATAGCCACAGCTCAGGCTGAAAGCCGCATCTGTGATAATACAGTTTCGACCACCAAAGTTAACCAGGACTGAATAATGCTTTTCCTTCCTCCAAAACACTGGACAGAGGTCACTTGGCACCAAACATCAGTCCAGGAAGATGACTTATTTGTGACAGCATAGCATGTCCTATAGCAAGTGTCATCCTATACACACCGAGGCCAGTAGCCGTCTTCCCCCCCCTCTAGCCTCAGCGCAAGGCAGAGTAGCCACAGGTTGGTTCTAACGTCTAAATTATGATCAAGCTGTTGCAGCCTTTACTTGTTCTGGACACTGTATTTTAAGTGAGAAAAGGAATGGAAAAGCCAGCTCAGTGCCACTGCGTTAACCTTAAGCAATAAAGGCATTTCATACCGTATCTTCTTCCAGGGGTAGGAATATAGTTCTTAATGGCAATTTCAGTGCTTTACTTTCTGTGTTCTATCTTTCCCATGGATTTCTGGAAGATACAACTTGCAACAACTTTTTGTGCATGTTAAAAATTATCCACATTCTTTCCAGTCTTTCTATGGCAAACTGGCATTTTCCATCTGATCCTTCGCTCCCTGGCAAGCCACTGTCACCCAACATGACATAAAACACACTTGTGGTTTCAGCACTTCTCTGCTTGCAAACATTCAAACCTTTAGCAAAAGCCGAGCTGCTCTGAAGACCTCCTTATTTCACCCTAGAGACTTGCCAACACCAGCGTCAGGATCTGACAAACTGTCCTAACAGAAAAATGCTGTGGCTTTGCCCTTTCATAACACAGCTACAGCCATCTGACATGAAGAGATGTCTCACGTCGAAGGACATGAAGATTAATCAATGTCATCTTTCATGCACTGTCCTGGATACAAAAAAACCTGAGTATTTTGACATTGTTGATTTCGACCCCTTCCGTCCAGTAACATATAGCGAAAACATCTTTTAATAACTAGGCTCAAGAGTTTGCCCACTTTGAAAAGACCAATATAGCAGCTCCCATTGACATTTTCATTTCTAGCACAGCACAATTTGTCAGAAGTAATAAGGGGGTTTTACTTTCCATACTCAATTCTTTTCTCTGTCATTGGCCTCACATTGTTTACTTATAGCTCATATGAGATAAAGAACAGCTTTGCTCCTGCATGTGT